GCGGCACACCTTGGTTGACAGGGGCTGGGGGAGAGCTGGATTTTCCGATGGTCACAAACTGTTGCCTGTTGGAGAGGTAGGAATGGAACCAGGAGAGGGCTGTACCAGAGAGGCCAAGGTAGACGGATAGACGGTTGAGTAGGATAGTGTGGGAGACTGTGTCGAATGCAGCGGAGATGTCCAGGAGGATAAGGATGCTGCGAGGCCTGAATCGGCGGCTATGAGGAGGTCATTGGTTATTTTAATAAGGGCCGTCTCTGTGCTGTGGTTGGATCTGAAGCCTCCTTAGCCTCCTTTAGCTTAGCGGTGGTGACGTGAAGTCATGTGACCGTGCTGTAGTTCCTTTATAGCCCAACATTAGCCTCCTTTAGCTTAGCGGTGGTGACGTGAAGTCATGTGACCGTGCTGTAGTTCCTTTATAGCCCAACATTAGCCTCCTTTAGTTTAGCGGTGGTGACGTGAAGTCATGTGACCGTGCTGTAGTTCCTTTATAGCCCAACATTAGCTTATTACCTCTGTAATCATAAAGTGGTGTTAATATGTGGAGATTATCCTGCTGAACTACATTTGTAATGATCATAAACGTTTGTTTGACACAGAGATTATTTTCTGAAAGAAATAATCCAAAATATCAAATTGAACCAGGGAGATGCTGCCTTCAGGGTCCAACACAGAAATACGTCATTACATTACATTACATGTTACTTATTAGGCGCTTTTATCAAAGCGACTTACATACTCAATACTGTGGCCAATCCCCACAGGAGCACTTTGGGGTGGAGTGTCTCAGGGACACAACGGCATGCTGACTGCAGTGGGGTTTGAACCTGTGCTCCCCTGATCCCAACACCAAGGCTCTATCCACTGCGCCACATGCCTCCACGTCATCACTGCACCGCTCTATTGCGATGGGAGTGACAGCTCCAGTTGTAATGGTTGTTATTTAACAGGGTGAGGCTTCACGGTTGTTCAAACAACAGAAATGCATGTTCCAAGATCAAAGAACGGCATTCCTGCACGACAGATTGTAGGAAGCGATCTGCAAGCACTCAAAGCTGGTGACAAGTATTTTATTAGGTTATTAGCATATGCTAAATGTAAGACATATACTTTTACAGTCAAGAGAAGAGCACACTGTTCTGGTATAAATCGCATTTCTGTTAATGTACATTGGATAACTGATTACAGAGAGTAATAACAGAATGCAGTAAAGTCCAGTAAGACAGTGATATAAATATGTCAAGGAAAAGGTACAGAAATATAATCTGAAATCAGTTTTAGACCTTAAAGATACAAATAAACAACAAACAAATATCCTCAGATGTTATCCCTTTTTGTTTTTGTGTGAGCGGAAAGGAAAGGCAAGTTTATTTCTAAAGCACTTTTCAACAAGTGCAGTCCACTTTGCAGACCATTGACATGCACTAAAACCTATTGAACACACTACAGGAAAGTAAACCCCCCAAAAAGCAGAACAGGGCCTCTTTAAAATGTTTGAAAATAGTTTTTCCAGTTGTAATTTCCTTCCTCATAAGCCATTTACAATGTAATCATCATGTATTCTTGTATTACAAAAACTGAAATCAATGGACCTCCATAATTTAAATAACAATAATGTATTTAATAAAAAACTGCCTTGTAGTTTGATGATCTCTAACATAACAAGCTGTTCTGATTAATCTCTGATGGCAGTTTTTCTTTACCTCGATCTTTGCCCCCACGTTCATCACCGAGATGAGTCTTTTATTTACCAAGCTGTTATATTTGCATTGTGGTTCAATATAAAGTACTTTATCAAAGTGACACATTCACTGAAGGACTTTCAGGTTATATAACTACGCCTGAGATCTTGTTGCAGAAACATTACCTGTTGTTTTTGGGCAATAACTGAGAAATAAGATATGTTAACGAGACATGAGAGAGTCCGATATAAATACATTCACAGTATATGTATTTGTACTTTAAAGCACTGTAGGTATTGCTTAAGGTACTGCAGTTTGGACAGAGGTGGATAAAAGTAGCATTAGCCTACTACAGTGTACAAATACTCAGTTACAAGTAATCATTATGCAGAAGAATGGCCATTTCAGATTTAACAAATACAACATTATTGTGTAATAAATATAAATGTCTTAACTTGAAATTGTCAAGGTGGGGTATATTTTAAATTATTGATATACTGCATTAGTTTAAGCTAATGCATAAAGATTTACTAGTTGATTTAAATTCAGTATTATTAATCTAAATCTACAAAATCTGCTAGTTAGCTGTAAAATAAGTGTAGCCGAGTAGAAGTATAAAGTAGAATAAAGATACTCAAGTGAAATACAAGTGCACGTAGCACGTAGCATGTAGCAATTAGCGTGTAGCACTTAGCACGTAGCATGTAGCTACTGCAGTCAGAACCTGTTTGGTGTTGACATAGAATAAAGTGAAAATACTCAGGGGGAGGAAAAGTACACGTAGCACTTTGCACGTAGCACTTAGCATGTAGCAATTAGAAAGTAGCACTTAGCTTGTAGCACTAAGCATGTAGCAATTAGAACGTAGCCTATAGCACTTAGCACGTAGCACTTAGCTTGTAGCACTAAGCATGTAGCAATTAGAACGTAGCACATAGCACTTAGCACTTAGCTTGTAGCACTAAGCACGTAGCACTTAGCACTTGAATACATTTATTTTCCTTCAACCACTGCAGTTTGTTTACATAAAGGCTGCACATTGAAAAGTAAACAGAATTTCTGCTGGTGTTTATTTGGTTTTGTAAATAAAACAAATAAAAATAACAAATAAACACCAGCGGAAGAGAACAGATTCCCACCTGTTACAGTTTGTGGGATTGAGTCAGAAAAAACAGATGCATTTGATTCTAGAAAGAAGTGTTTTCACACAATAACTTGAACTGATTTGGAGCTCTAATACAGAGTTCAACAACAACAACAACAACAACAACAACAACAACAACACACCATCTGCGCTGATGAATCACAAGAGGATTGCACTTCATGGACAAGAGGTTATAGAATCAAACACTTTTAAATAACTGCTGTTAACATGTACTAAAAGCTTACGGACACTTTGCATGTGACTGGTATGAAGGGACCTCACTGTGTTTTACAGCAGATGGGATGGCAGTAATAAAGTGATCTTAATCTAGAGTAACTTTAGATTTACATTTTCTAATTTACGGGTCTCAATTTCACATTCAGATGAGATGTGACTCTTGAACCTGAGTATGTAGCTTTACTGGCTAACGCTGGTGTCTGTTCGCAGAAAAAATACATATATATATTTGGTTTAATTTCCATGAGGAAGACTTGTTTTAGCATTCAGCTAAAGGTGTATTAAATAAAGGTTGGTCTGCAATGGTATGTAAAAAAATACTTCAGCTTTTCGGTGTTAAGGCACAGAGGCAACAACTACCTTCTCTTTTGTGTTGTTTGAATTCTACAACATGTAAACAAAGATATCTGGATATTTTTTGCATTTACTGTCATACTGTCAGTTTGACGCGGAGAGGCTATGGACGTCACAATTTCACATTCAGATGAGATGTGACTCTTTAACCTGTGTGTGTAGTTTTACTGAATAATTCTGTTGTCCGTTTGCAGAGAGAAAATATATATTAATGAATTTCTATGCGTTTTTAGCATTTAGCATGCAGAAGGTGTATTAAATAAAGTTCTGTAAAAAGGATGTGATATAGAGTATGTAGCTTTACTCGCTAACTTTGGCGTTTGTTTGCATACAAAATACACATAGTTGGTTTAATTTCCATGACGAAGACTTGTGCTGAACGTGTGTTAAATAAAGGATGGTCTGCAGCAGGTATGTAAAGTACATGTGATATCTCCTGAGTATGTCGTTTTTCTGGCTAATTTTGGTATCAGTTTGCAGAAAAAATATATATATTTGGTTTAGTAATATACTTCAGCTCTTTGGTTTTAAGGCACAGAGGCAACAACTACCTTCTCTTTTGTGTTGTTTGAATCATAAAAACTGCAAACATGTAAACAGATATTTGGATATTTGGACGTTTTTTAGCATTTATAATCATGATCTCCGTTTGCAGCGGGGAGATTTTGGACGTAGTGGACGGCGTCTTCGATGGTGTAGAATATCACCGTTTCCCCTCCTCCATCACTCTCTGTTTTGGGGTAGTAGCCCCCTCTCTGCAGTGAGTCCAGTACGGAGGTGTTACACTGGGCCAGGACCACTTTCACCCCCAGTTCTGCGTAATCTTTGCGGACTTCTTTCAGCGCGTTCACTCCGGCCGTGTCCAGAAAGGAAATGGAGCTGCCGTCGATCACCACGCTGCGTAAGGATGTGTTCTCCATTAACGTCACTCCGGCTTCATCCTCTTTAAGATAAGATGAGATAAGATGGAGATGTGTTAATCCCCGTGAGAACATTCAGTAGTTCAACAGCGTGAGAATGAAAAACAGGACAGCACAGATTAGAGATTAATAAAATCAAAGGTACAAATTAAATGATATGCACTTAAAGGTCCCCTATCATACTGTTGTTCATCAATGTATCACAGGTCTCAGATATACCCAGAGCCTGTCTCTGATTGGCTGAAACACCAAACAGATCATTGCAGCATTAACCATAATCCCCTCTGTTTCAGCCCTGTTTCCAAAGTGCTGATTCTCTGTCTGTTACTTTAGATGAAAATAAGGAGCCCCTCCCCACGCCCCTCTGAGAGAGATTTGGTTACAAAGAACTCAATGGTGCTCTAGCAGGGTATATGCAGGAATCCTGAAGTCAAATTTAATACCTTTTAAGACCTTTTTTAAGACCCTTTCCATACATTTTAAGACCTCATCGCAACTTTGAGTTCTAACCAGTTACATTGGCAACACACTTTACTATATTGATTGTAAGATAGCAAAACTAAACAGAGTGCAGACAGACTACTGAAGCCTCCTCTCCACATGAACTTCAACCTCTCTGTGAAGGTCAGGTTTAATGCAGTATGCTGCTTTTTTGCTTCTGTAGACTCTGTGCTCTTTCATTCCAGTAAAACTCCTCAGAAACCATTTTTGTGGGAAATTAAATGACTTTGCCTGTACAGCCCTTTGGGGGAGTTCCGCCGGGGTACGTATCGCGCGGCATTTTACGACGAAGAATAAAATTCAAAGCAACGGAACGAGGCGAGACAAACCCCCCCCCTTGATTTGCTGATGCCATTGCCCAGGGTTTCCACTCATCTGCCGTATGCGTTGTGAGACCCCCAGGTTGCCCGAGGCACACACGGGATATACTAGTAAAAGACTATTGCTACTTTATCGGGCGGAGGGAGAGGGGTGCAGAGGACGACGACGACCCGACAGTCTTCTCCCCCTCCTTTTCTCTCCGTCCGTGGCCAAATAATTTATAATTAATATGTCTCTTGTGTTCAGCAATAGTTAAACAAAATTTCGAGTTATTTATTGTTTCTTTCTGAAGACTGGCCGTGAAAAGATTTAAAACATGCCTTCTAAATTTGAAATTGCCTGTACAACTGGCCGCCTTTAAAAAAATTGGCCTTTGAGACGGCGTGCCAGGGGGAGCAAGGAACCTTCTCCGCCTCTCCACCCACAAAAAGTAGCGACCACTGATGGCCTCTCTCTATATGTCGTCCTTCTTGTGCGGCAGGTGGCGGCCTCTTATTTGTCTTTCCGTTGGTACCGTTGGTACGAGGCCCCAGAAGAAGCGACGAAAACCATATAAAGCCCGCCGTCGTCGCGGTGAATGTCCGGACTGTATACATGATGTAGCAAAGGTCGTAAACGTCGCCGGATCACACTTGCCTGTGCAATTACCTAGCTTACGCACACTTGCCTTCGGAAAAAAACGAGAACGCATACGCAAAAATGGCATACGCAGGAACACCCCGGCCCCAGATTCGGTTTGATATAGGCCAGTGTCTGTAGGACGATTAAAATTTCATTTCAGTTGTGTATATCTGGGATTTATATCAGATATAATTCTTGCTCTTTTCAGAATGTGTATATAGGAAAAAACCTATTGTATAAAGTATCAAGTTTTCAAAACAGGTTAACAAAACAAATAACCAGTT